CTATATATATATATATATATATATATATATATATAAAGAGAGAGACAGGAGAAAATGATAGGATTCTAACATCCTCCTATACAAGAGACGTGCTTTAGAGCGAGTCAGCCGCCAACGGTCTTGCAGAATAAGCAAAACCGGAAAAAAAATCATATATATAATGTGTATATTATGTAGAGGAGGCACGGTGGAATAATGGATAGCGGTGTGGAGTGAGGAACCGGAGAGCCGAGTTCGAATTCCAGTCGTGCTTGGGAAAAGCTATGAACCCTCTTCATCTCCCCCCACCCCCTATATAGCAGGAAAGACTGGGTTCTAAAGCCTTGGATGGCAATTGGTCTACCGCAGGAAGAAATGACAAATTACTGCGGGAAAAAAAATCTGCCTCGTCAGTCATGTATCGAAAAATGCCTGATCGCCTAAACGTGTATCATGCATGGCATATAACTGACTGACTTTCCAGTCAAATCCATTACATTCACTTACGTGCTAATACCCTTGGGAAAGCTATGAATCCTCTTCTTCTCTCACCATCTATGGGTAAATAGTAGGACAGACCGGGTTCTATAGCTTTGGATGGCAACTGGTCTACCGCAGAAAGAAATGGCAGCCTACTGCGGGAAAAAAATCTGCCTCGTCAGTCATGTATCGAAAAAGTGTATCACGCATGGTACATAGCTGACTAACTATATAAGGTGGTCTATCTTTTAGGAAGATATTTAAGAGATATTTGGAAGAATATTAAAATTAAAACAATATTTAAGAATATTAAATTAAAACTATATCCAAAACTGTTGTAGATTTGATAACAACCGTCCTAAATGGAGATTTTCTGCTTGAGTGATTTTGGTACCTTTTTGGGTTCATCCTTCTATTATGTGGGGAACGCCGTAAACATACGTATGCATATGGGCAAAGGACAAAGGTTTTACCCAATCCCCGCGATCACTTTCCCGCTAGCATCGATATTACACCGGCCCTACCTCTCATACTGAAGAAAAAGGAAGGTGTTGCCGCAGGGTTAGAATCACCGGGAACTGGGCGCCAAGCGAAAGAAACCTGAAGCGAGAAAGAAGAAAAGTTATACTTTTGAAGCCAGGCAAAATTATCTGCTCTATCTATACATAATTCTTCTTCTGTGTCGATCTGGGTATGACGTTAAACTACATCCGGTAGCAATGCCTCTGACCGGAAGATTGGAGGTTTTGAGGTACGTAGAAAGAACTCTTAACCGCTGATGTTACCAGGTCCACTCTGAACCCGGTGTGGTAGCGCCTTTTAGGGCCCCAGCTATACTGAACCCCCACCAAAAAAAAAAAAAAAACAGTATATTTTGATCATAAAATAATCAACAATACATTTTTATAGTAAAATGACAATTTGTTTAGTTTTTCCTTCCGCTTGTGCTGTTAGGCGTCGCGGGGAGACATAGTCGTCTGTCAGGCAAGGCGAGTGGGTTGGAGGAGAGATATCTCGTAGGCTCTGAGAGTGTCTGCCACTGAGTCGTTCCAAAAATTCTTGGTCTGCCTCTCGCTCTCCAGCCAGAGTACTTGAGGTTGTATCCTTGTAGCGCTCCCAAAGTTCTACCTATCGTCTTCGTCGTGGGAGGTGGAAACAGGTAATGCTGACCAACGGGGCACTGGTGAAGCTGTGACTGGCTTAGCAGACCGACAGTGGATAAAAATTTACAGAAGGAAACAAAAAACAAAAGGACAATCAATACAACGCTAAAAAAAAATATAAAAATATATCTTTTTTTATGTGCCATGTCCGGTAGGCGAAGATGGCTCTCCACAATTTCCTTTCCTTTGTAGCTCTTAATAATTTTTTCTTTTCGTTATCTAACCTAAACGTTGTTCCACCATCCATTTACACAAGTTCGTTTGTTAGGCTATGCGTTTTCTCTGTCCCTCTTGCCTTCAATCTATCCTGTGAGTATCGAATTTTCCAAGCCCCTTTTCCTCGTTATGTGCCCTAGATATTTCAACTGTCTCTTCATGATGCTAAGTATAAGTATTCTTTTCCTTTCCATTTTTTCCATTTTCTCTAAAACTTCGTTGTTCCCATATTCGGTCCATGGTATTCTCATCATCCTTCTGTAGAACCACATCTCTGAAGATTCTAATCTCTTTTTCATGCGAGTGGATTTTCCGGCATTTGCTGTCATATAGAATTGATATTACTTAGCATTTTAATAATGTTTTCTCGGTTTCTGACGACAGCATGTCTATACCGCAAAATGCAAATATTATTTTAAAGACTTGCTCTCAATAGACCCTTTGAGGGTTAAGTTTTCCAAGCCCTCCTTCGTCATTATGTGTCCAAGGAATTTCAGCTATCTCTTTCTGATTCTGAGTAGAAGTGTTCTTTCTGTTGCCATTTTAAGACTTGCCCTCAATATGCCCTTTGAGGGTTAAGTTTTCCAAGCCCTCCTTCCTCATTATGTGTCCAAGAAATTTCAGCTATCTTTTCCTGATTCTGAGTAGAAATGTTCTTTCTGTTGCCATTTTAAAACATGCTCTCAATATGCCCTTTGAGGGTTAAGTTTTCCAAGCCCTCCTTCCTCATTATGTGTCGAAGGAATTTCTGCTCTCTCTTCCTGATTCTGAGTAGAAGTGCTCTTTCTGTTGCCATTTTCTTTCAAACTTCCTTATTGCTTACTCCCTCCGTCCATGGAATTTTCTATATCCTTCTATAGAACCACATTTCTGCTGCGTCTAGTTTTTTTTTCCGAATCCGTGGGGAAATTTTCCAACATTCACTATCAGATAAGGGGATGGACATCATATAGAAATCCAATACTCTTCTCTATGTTTCTAACCACATTTTTCCGTTTTTCAGTACCTTGCTTACCTTTTAGAATGCTTCTTTCGCTAGCCCAATGCGTGCTCGGATCACGGTGTCACATTTTACATCCTCTGTGGTTTTTTTTAATCATTTCACTCCAAGCAAGGCAATAAAACCAATGAGCATGAATAATAAAAGGACAGGAATTAAGAAGACAGAAGACAATGATTGGCATTGTATTTAAATTTTGAATGTTGAAGAAACTTATGGAATCCTCCACATTTGCCTGTCACCCACTACGGAAAGATGCGCTCTTCTCCAAATAAACCTTTAACCAATCATCACTTTACTTTTCCAAATTCAATCCCCCATTGGTTAAAAGGACACTAAAAAATGTAGCAAAGTTGAGACAAACCTTTTTTCCCGCGCAGCTAACTGGAACCTATTTGAAAATCTATAAAAAGAAGATTCAAGTTTTTTTTTGATTGTTTTATTGTTATACCAGCAGACCCCATTCGTGCCAACACACTTGACTCAATAACCACTACCAACCTCTCAATGACTCAAAAAAATATGCAACTATTGCCGCGTGAAGAAACTTAAATTACAATTTATTAAAAAATATCATTATCACTACAAAACAGTAATTGTACATTCAATCAACTTTAGCCTATCAGTTAAAGGCGAAAATCTTTCATAACTTAAATCAACACTAGCAGTTGTTACACACATTGACACCCTCACTTGAACTTACAAATTGATTCCATTCCTTGCAGCTATCAAACTATTTTAATCTCACAAACAAACTTAAACTATCAGCCTTTACTCACTAAATTTCTGCATGGACAATCTTTTGCAACCTTATCTCACTTGCTTCGTTTAAATGCAACTTATTATTATTTTGTGTTTCTGTCATATATATATATATATAAATTCACGTTATTTTTGAAATCTCTAATTACGTTGTTTTCAGTAATTTCTTGAAATTGAATTGTCTTTTATATTTTGTTGATTTATTTGTTTGATTTTAAATACAAAACAAAACGCACCTTCTTGGCCTTCACAAAAAAAATCACCTTCTGATACATCTTACTCAGTATAGATTCCGTAACAATCTTAAATATTGAATAAACACCAATTTGTCTGAGCAGGGGCCCGCTGTAGGGATTTAGTTATCCTAATACATTCCATAGTCTCCTGAGATTGACGAATGCCTACTAAAAATGGTACCCTTTATAAATATTCACACATAATTATTGTTTAAACGATGGCCCTAGTTAAATTGTAAAGGCTTCTCATAGCTTTTTAAAATACTTCCTTACGTCACATCAACCTTTACCATAATCTCCCGTATTTTCTCTGTACTTTTATAATCTAACGTTTGTACTTCTACCGGGTTAATTTATATGACAGTTTGACGAATTTAAATCTAGCGTAATTTGTTTATTTTCTCTCTCCTCCGAAGTCTATAAATTTCTCCTCCACTTCTACGTCTGATAGCAGTGGCACGAAAACGTATATCTAATCCGACGTTTTCATAATATACATCTGCAACAGCAAGTATGTAACAACATTCCAGAAGATGAATTATTTGCGTATTTGTTTACAATTTCAAATTATATAAGAAGGTGTATGTTTCCTTTGCGATCGGGAAAGTTGATGGGCCGGTTACGTGTTCCTAAACATGGAGCATAGCGCCTATCATCAAAATTACAACTAACGTTAGCAGAAACGTCGGAACTGATGGGCGGAAGCAGATGTCAATTGTCAAAAGGAGTTAATTCTTATTTCAAGTAAAACCCAGTTGGATTTAAAAAGTACATTTAAAATAAAAAAAAAAAAAAGAGAAAGGGTTAAAGGGAGATAACCAAAGATTCAAAGTCAGAACATTATCATTGATAACTCTCTCTCCAATTTGCAAACCTAGTTTACTATATTCTTAATACTTGATACAATGCAAATATATTACAATGATAAAAATCGGTCAATAATTATTTATAACTATTTATACTGGGACTCATGCATGCAATTACAAGTAATCTATAATAATATTTTAAATTTTGAAATCATATTTATTTTTGGCATATGAATCTTTTGAAACTATTTCTAAATCTTTGATTGTCTTTCAATCATTCCGTCACCTGCTATCCTTATCCTCTTCCGCCTCACCTGCAATCCTCTTCCGCCTCATATGCTATCCTCTTCCGCCTCATATGCTATCCTCTTCCGCCTCACCTGCAATCCTCTTCCGCCTCATATGCTATCCTCTTCCGCCTCACCTGCAATCCTCTTCCGCCTCATATGCTATCCTCTTCCGCCTCATCTGCTATCCTCTTCCGCCTCACCTGCAATCCTCTTCCGCCTCATATGCTATCCTCTTCCGCCTCATGTATCCTCTTCCGCCTCACCTGCTATCCCCTTCCGCCTCAAATAAAAAATATCCTCTTCCGCCTCACCTGCAATCCTCTTCCGCCTCATATTCCTCTTCCGCCTCACCTTCCGCCTCATCTTATTTCCCTCATCTGCTCACCTGCTATCCTCTTCCGCCTCACCTGCTATCCTCTTCCGCCTCACCTGCTATCCTCTTCCGCCTCACTTGCTATCCTCTTCCGCCTCACCTGCTATCCTCTTCCGCCTCACTTGCTATCCTCTTCCGCCTCACCTGCTATCCTCTTCCGCCTCATCTGCTATCCTCTTTCCGCCTCACTTCCGCTCATTATCCTCTTCCGCCTCACCTTGCTATCCTCTTCCGCCTCACCTGCTATCCTCTTCTCATCATTTTTCAATTTATCCTCTTCCGCCTCACCTGCTATCCTCTTCCGCCTCAAACAATCTGCATCCTCTTCCGCCTCACTTGCTATCCTCTTTCCGCCCCATCTGCTATTCCTTCCGTCTCACCTGCCTATGCCCTCTTCCGCCTCACCTGCAATCCTCTTCCGTCTCATCCTTTCATCTGCTATCCTTCAAAATAAATCAATTGCTATCCTCTTCTGCTTCAACTGCTATACCTTCCCCTTCCAATTCACTTGATATCCCCTTTCCGCCCTCACCGGATATCCTCTTCTGCCCTCACCTGCTATTCTTCTTCCTCCTGCAGACCTATTTATACCTTTCCGCCTCACTTGTTATCCTTCTTCCGCCCTCTCACCTACTATCATCTTCCGTCTCATCTGCTATCCTCTTCCGCCTCAATTGCATCCTCCTTTTCCCCATCTGCTATTCCTCTTCCGTCTCACCTGCTATCCTCTTCCGCCTCACCTGCATCCTCTTCCGCCTCATTGCTTCCTCTTTTACCTGCTATCCTCTTCCGCCTCACCTTATCCTCTTCCGCTTCACCTGCTATCACCTTTTTTCCGCCTCACCTGCTCTCCTCTTCTGCCTCATCTGCTATTCTCTTCCTGCTTCATCTGCTATTCTTTTTTTCCGCCTCTTCCGCCTCATCTTGATTTACCTCATCTGCTTTTCCTCCTAATTTCAAATCTTCCGCCTCACCTGCTATCCTCTTCCGCCTCACCTGTTATTCTCTTCTGCTTCATCTTGCTATTTTCTTCCGCCTCGCCTGCTATACCTTTCTGCCTCACCTGCTATCCTCTTCCCGCCTCATCTGCTATCCTCTTCTTCCTCATCTGCTATCCTCTTCCCCCACCTGCTTTCCTCTTCCGTCTCAAAATTCTTTCCTCTTCCGTCTCACCTGCTATCCTCTTCCGCCTCACCTGCTATCCTCTTCCCTTCATCATCTTATTCCTCTTCCGACTAACCTGCTATCCTCTTTCGCCTCATCTGCTATCCTCTTCCGTTTCACCTGCTATCTTAGATTAACTATTACCCAAGCATATAGTACCTAATTTTTTCTGTTACTTAACCTACAGATGGTGGGAAGGGAGACACGGATTCATATCTTTTCTAAGGGCATTAGTGCCAAGTGAACGCAATAGCTAAGCCTATGATTTGGACTTGATTCAAATGGACACAAATATGCATTTCTTGTCGATAACCGCTTGATACCTAAGAGATGGGAAAGAACACGGATTCATATCTTTTCTAAGGGCATTTCTATTTAAGTGAACGCAATAGCTGAGCCTATGATTTGGACTTGGTTCGTCAATTACGCATTTCTTTGCCGATAACCACTTCGATACCTAAGGGAAAATGTTATTATTTACATCTGCTTCATCAGCGTCGAAGATGATGAAAGTAGTAGTACGAATAACAAATACATTGTAAACATTCAGCATAACATCTTCACGTGCTTCCTTTGAAATGCGCAGATAAATTCATTTGTAAACATAAGGTTGATCGATTGATTGACTGTTTTTTTTTTTCACGTCTTATCAACACTTTCTGGGCTATTTAAAAGCCGAAAGAGATTTTTTGAATTGTAAGAATATTTATTCCGTTGAAAAAAATTATTTGTTTTTTTTGAGAATAACAATTATTTTTTCCTACCATAAGTCCTGTTTTTTAACCCATAGCTTGGAGAATACAGAGATTCATATTTTTCCCAATAGCATTTGCGAGTAAGTGAATTTAACGAGCTAAAATGCCGAGCCACTATCCATAAATAGCGATTAGACGCAAAATAAGTTCAAAATTACGTGAATGGTAATGGTTCGAGAAGCATCTGATGAAGGACGGTGGATACAATAGCTGAAACGTTGTGATAATAACAAAAATCAAGACGATATTCCGCATGTACTTAATGCAAAAATATGGAGGTCTACATATTTTTACGCTGATTAATCATCAGGTTACCGTTGCTGAACTCGTTAAGGCGTCATGCTTTGAAAGTTGTATGGAAAAGAATATTCAAGTATAGTAGAAAACGCTTTTTTTTTTTAGATTTCAAACTGTTTCTTTTAGCGGTCGAAAATAATTTACAAACCCAGGGGTAAAGAGTAATAACAAGCCGTAATAATAAAATATGGGAATATAGTGTAACAGTTGTCGCTTTTAATAAATTTAAAATTTTAATATATTTAAAAAAATACAAACAAATATTGAAATAAAAAAAAGAACAAATGCAGTTTCATTTAACAAATCATAACTTACTTTTTCTAAACGTGGAATAATGCTTTCTTCTCAATTTCCTTTACAACATTATGGAAGAGTTCCTGCCGTTTCCTTTCAGTCTTTATTTCAGTCTCTGCTATCAATATAGTGTCATCTGCATAATTAATTTTTTAAGCTTGTTGCAGCCAATATTGAATCCTAGAACACAATATTTTAGGAGACCATCAGAATGTTTCCTAGAAGCAAATCATTTATTTCGTTTTTTTTTGTTTTTTTTTTTTAATATTATGGCTAGATTAAGGATGGTGATAGATTATTATGAAAATAATGGCATATATGATAGATATGTAGAAGAAATTGAGATAGATAGATAGATAGATAGATAGATAGATAGATAGATAGATAATGAAAATATTTAGATAGATAGATAATGAAAAGATTTAGATAGATAATGAAAACATTTAGATATAGATAGATAGATAATGAAAAGATTTAGATAGATAATGAAATGATTTAGATAGATAGATAGATAATGAAAAGATTTAGATAGATAGATAGATAGATAGATATACAAACAGATATACATACATACTGATAGATAATGAACAGATTTAGATAAGATAGACAGACAGACAGACATACAGATAGATAGATAAATAGATAATGAACAAATTTAGAGATAGATAGATAGATAGATAGATAGATAGATAGATAGATAGATACATACATACATACATACATACATACATACATACAGATAGATATAAAGATTATTTTATATGAAAGTGTTTTGTTCCGTCATTTATAAAGATTATTCCAAATGTATTACTTTTATGTTGGACGATAGATAGATAATAGATAGATAGATAGATAGATAGATAGATACATACATACATACATACATACATACGTACATACATACATACATATAGATAGTATAAAGATTTTTTTTTGATATTATAAAGATTATTTTATATAAAAGATTTTTTTTTGTTCCGTCATTTATAAAGATTATTCCTAAATGAATTAGCTTTATGTCGGACGATAATGTGATGTGATGATCCTTTCAAAAAAAACGTAGTATGGCTCTATTAAATTTTCTAAAAGTTATTTGGTTGTAATGGTCTCTGTTCATGAGCAATTACAGTTTAAAAGCCATACCAACTTGCAACAGTTACCAGACAAAATTCAACCATAAATGGTGATTAAGAATTCAACACTCAGGACCTATAAATATAGTTAAGGAAGATCGCGGACACCAATTTTCTTTTAGCGGAGAGACTTTATTTGAATTAGTAACTTACAAGAAACCAAACACGAGATTCTGACACCGGTGGGAAATACGATGCAGAACACATTAAATACAGTAGATTACGAAGAGTAAAGCCAGATATATGTTGGTAGGAGCATTAGAAAGTGTCCAAGTCGTAAAATATTTCGTTTTTGTTTGTTTATTTTGAAATATTCAGGTAAATGAAATCGTGATACCACATCCATCTATGTGCCGAATCCTTTCAGGATGTGAGCGATGATCTGCTTCCCCAAATTTTTTATTCTTTGAAACTGTTAGCAGACTTTTGACTCTTTGCCAGCCTCATACCCGCGTTCCAAGATCCATTCACACAAACACGCCAGGAAGGTAGCCAGTTCTTGTTTTTTTATATATATATATATATATATCCTGCAGTGCCAAATTCTCCAAGACCTTCTTCCTTAAGTCCTGTCCAAGAAATTTCAGCAGGAATTTTCTGATTCTGAGTATACATGTTCTTTTTGTTACCATTTATCTTAAAAACTTGTTCGTTGCCTACGCTTCGTACATAGTCATTCTCAGCATCCTTCTGCAGAATAACATTTCCCCATCTGTGGGGATATTTTCCTCAATTTACTGACATGGGAAAAATTGATACGGACTAACAGTTCACCACCCTTTTGTGTGCATCGAACGGATGTATCCCTGTTTTGAGTGTCTGGTTAGCCTTTGAAAGATATTTTTGCAGTTGCAATACGTGTTCGGATTTCGGTGTTACTATTTTTCTTTTCATTAAAAATATTTCTTTGGGCTTTTTATCTTGCTGACTACTATACATTTTGTCTTCTTACTGTTGATGGACATTTCTTTTTTTTTCTCGCACAATAGATAGATAATGAACAGGCTGACATTGATAGATAATGAACATAGATAGATAGATAGATAGATAGATAGATAGATAGATAGATAGATAGATAGATAGATAGATAATGAACAGACTGACATTAATAATGAACAGAGATAGATAGATATAATGAACAGACTGACATTGATAGATAATGAACATAGATAGATAGATAGATAGATAGATAGATAGATAGATAGATAGATAGATAATGGACTGAGATAGATAGATAGATAGATAGATAGATAGATAGATAGATAGATAGATAGATAGATAGATAGATAGAATGAACAAGCTGAGATAGATAATGAACAGACTGAGCTAGCTAGCTAGCTAGCTAGCTAAGATTATAGCTCAGTCTGTTCATTCATCTAGCTAGCTAGCTAGATAGATAATGAACAGACTGAGATAGATAGATGATAGATAGATAGATAGATGGATAGATAGATATAATGAAC